CGGCTAACCTAAACATGGCATGTGAAATGCAATCAATTGATGCACGTATTCAATTTGGAATTGAAGCACAAATGCAGTTAGCATGATGTACAGAGCCCGGTGCATGCGAGACAAATGAATGGATGCACGCATGCATAACATAAGGTATGCTAATTTAAACATGTCCTATTACTAACCATCATAAGCAGGTAAGTAAAAGGGAAGAAAGAAGTGGGGATTGGAAGACATGCACACACACGCATCTACACTTATTACAGGTTCGCCCTCGCCTGGAGGGACCAAATAAATAATACAGATTGAATAACGAATTAACTAACCTAGCTAATTAATTATTACAAATTACCCAATTAGTTAACAAACTAACTAAGCTAGGAAAAAACAGTATACCGCCTCGGGAAGAGAGTTCGATGCGCGCATGCTCGGGTCTTGCTCGGAAATGCACTGCCATGCATAGGTTGCCTCTGTTTTCCCTGCTATGCTCCTTTGAAGACTGCCAAAGTCTCAGGATTGCTTCCCTGGACATTGGGAGACACCACCGGCTGAATAGAATGGCCACCGGCAGTGGCATGAAATCACCGGCTGTGAATGCATCCATCGGCCATGGAAAGATTGCCGGTCGGCACATAGCATTGTCGGTCGGCAGAAAGTTTCTGCAGAATCTGCAATTGACAGCAATAGAGGGCAAGGCAGAGCATGGCAATACAATTCAAGCAATGTATGCACCAATCATGTCCCTTATCATGTTATTGACTCAAAGGGCCATGATCCTTGGTTCTTGGACCATCAATCGCGCATTTCAATGCGTGATGGGCCAAGAGACCAAGTTATGCCTTTTGATGTCAAATGTAATTCAAACCAACAAACCAAAGAGACTCAACCTCTATCACAAACATTTCAAGAGGCCAAGCATGCATGCAAGTGGAATGCAATCCTAGGTATGTGAGCTAAGGATGTGACATGGCAATGCAACGCATTCATGCAATTATGCAAGCAAATATGCGAGGAAAACATGCAAACAAACAAAGGGTAGACTTGAGCATGATATAGGCAGCTCTAATTAGGCCCAAAAATAGTGGCCAAAGTGCCCAAAATGAAGGCTAAATGGCATGCAAACATGCATGCACACAAGGACCAACAATTAAGCATTAAAGAGCAACTCTCAAGCACACTCAAGAGGGTACAAACGTGGGCAAATGACATGCATTAAGTTCTGAAAATCATGCGAGAACATGGTGCCAAACCAAGCAAGCAAGATAGGCTAAACATGCAACAAATGGCCCAAGCATTCAAAGCAAACTAATGAAGTATTGAACTACACTTAGCAAGACCAAACATGACCATGACTTAATTGACCTAAAAACAGAGTTTTTAGCACATAAAACAAGGCCCAAAAGATCACTAGATGGCATCTAAATGGCTTGAATTCGAAAGCATACACAAATGCACTTTCAAGGAGCTACCACATAAGCTCATAAAGCATCAAAGGGGCATCCAAGGCGAGCATACAAGCATGCAAGCGGACTGAAATGATGCCATAAATGGTGTCAAACCGTCAACATAAGGCAAGTAATGCATGCTACACACTCACACACTTAAGGCCAACAAGCCAAAATGCGAAGGGGCATATAATGCATGGCAAAGTCGACCCAAACAACTATGGACAGACCTCATATATGACAAAATAAGCACAAAAGCTTCACAAAGCTAGGCTAAAACATGCTTGAATAAGGTTTACAACCTAAGGCATGTTAAGCAACAAAGTGGCATTACAAGGTAGGTATGCTAAGCATGCATGGTGTACCAAAACCAACAAAAAACAGAGCACATTATGACATAATAAGCACAAAAAACAGCCAAGGCATGGTCAACAAGAAGCCTAGTTAGGTGCTCCCTCAAGAGCCAAAAATGGTCCATTTCAAGGACAACAAGGAGAGGGTGGCCCTCTCCTTCTTGGGACCTCAAGGCACCATCCTCACCTCTGAAACCCTCAAGATTTCAGTGGTGAGGAGGCCCAAACACCAAGGTCTCGGAGCTTACACAAAATAGCACAAAATGGAGCTTACAAAAGGCTTAGGCAGGGGTCAAACAACCTCAAACAACAAAACACCATAAATAAACTATTTAGAGGGCCCTAAACGAACTTTTTGTATTATATGCAAGCCAAAAAATACGTTGAAAGATAGGTAAAAATAGAATGCAAAAATGGGTAAAATGGGACTAGTTCTTACCCTTGTTGTGACTTTCTTCAAAAGATGAAGCTCAACAGCTTCTTTGAGCTCAAAAACAGCTCAAGAAACCCTCAAAACAACCTCTGGTCCTTCAAGAAAATCAAGCCAAGGTGTAACACTTGTGTTTGTGTGCAATCAGTAAGCACAAGACACACTAACCACACACAAAGGCTACAATGAGAGGAAGGTTAGGATAGAATATTTCCAACCCTAAACCCTAAAACCAGAGCTCCAACACCAATTTTCTCTCCAAAATTTCTAACCCTAAAGCCAAGAGGGGAGGGCTCCTCTTATAGAGGAGCCAATCTTGTAAAGCTTACAAGGTAAGCTAACAAGGGGTCCATCCCTCCATACACGTGTATGGAGGGGAACAAAATGACATACAGCTGTCTTAAAATATCTGTAAAAGCAGATGAACAGTAATCGGCTGCTCAAAATTGCCATTTTGTAAAAAAAGAGTGCCGACCGGCAACAAACAGTGCCGATCGGTAACATATATTGCCGATGGCAACAAAACACCAGCTGGTGGCCTCTGGCCATGGCCGGTGGTGTGTGGGGATGCCTCACAAGGTATTCCCTGCCCTTTCAAGACAAAACACAAGTGTTTGGTGCAAAACCAATCACTAAACAGTCGAGTTCGGAGATCCTGAGGCAAGGCGCGTAGCCGAGACCTCCGGGAACTCCAAATGAACACAGACATGGATGATCACCGGGTGTTCAAACGGTGACGTCCAAGTCTTGAGGACGGTCAAAAATGGGGTGTCTACACATACGTGGTACATCCAATAGCGTTAACATGTCTGATGACCCATAAAGGGACCTGATGACCCATGAAGGGACCTGATGACCCATAAGGGACAGCCCTGAAAGCATTCTGATGACTCATGTGCACAGAGACGTTCTGATGACCCACAAAGGGACGCATATCATGTGATGCTAAAGATGCCACGGTTAACTTTCAGAATCTTGGACAATCATTCATTCGTTTCAAACATATCATAGCATTTCCAAGAATCAATCATTTCGTATCATAATATTCCGAAAATACATAACATTGAACATAACTTTACAAAGTTACTACTCATAGATGATTGATAGCTTTAACTAGATGGTAAGGCGGCCCTCCACTTGTTTTGAGGTGCGTGACCTACATGAACACATATACAACACACACTTGAACATCCTTTCGAATTACACATAACTTGTTTCGTTTGTTCTTAATGTGTTTCTATCCTTTAATTTCCATTAAGGAGTCTTAAACATGGCTTAGGAATGCCTAGGATGGAATGGGGATGCAAGAATGCCTTTAAAACACTTTTCAAAATTTTCAGAAAACAGGGGTCCCGCTCGAGCGTGGGTTCCCCCGCTCGAGCGGACATGCAAACAAAAGGTCCCCGCTCGAGCATGAGTTCTTATGCTTGAGCGGACTGTAAAAGTACTGGATGCTCGAAAATCATGCTCGATGGGCGCTCGATACCCGCTCGAGCGTGAGACACAAGTCCTCGCTCGAGCGTTCAATTCCCCGCTCGAACGGACTGCAAACCCATGCAAAGTACTGGATACACGAAATTTCCGCTCGAGCATTACTTTTCCCGCTCGAGCGGACTGCATGAACTCAGGCTTCACGCTCGAGCGTGGTCAATTTTTTGGAAAATCCAGATTGACCTCCCAAGCTCAAACTCGACATTCAACCCACCAAAACTTATTTTTCTGCGCCAAAACTTTGAAAAACCCTTTGTAACTCATAACACAACATGTTTAAAGGTTCAATTCAAGAAATCATGGCCCAAGAGTAAACCAATTATGCACAAATTCAACATGAAACTTGACATTAACTCATGTACATGATTTGTATGCAATTCCTTGAGTCCAAATCTTCCAAAACATGACTAAATGCAATGTTTATCCCAAAAACATGATCAACTATGATAATATGACATGGAATCATGAAAAAAATTATGACATGCATGCAAAGATTCTTGAAAATCAACTCCAAAACATGAAAATTTATGCATGCATGCATGGATGGACTCCCAATTCAACATTATGAGCTAAGTCTTGACTTTAATCTTCCACATAACCAAGAACCACGCAAGAAATGGCTTAATTACACAATCAAAGAGTGAACGTCCTACCTTAGGTCTTCAATTCAAGGTCTAAGAGCTCAATTTTGTGATTGTCCTCCAATTCCTCTAGATTTCAAGCCAAGATGACAAGATGAACTCAATTTCCCTCACTCTCCCTCTCTTAGTCGGTTTGAGGACTCAAGAAATGACTGAGAAGGTTTTGTGAATTAAGGCTCAAAGTGATTATGAAGTGGGCCACTAGTGTGGCATTTTAGTAATTAAGCCAACTTATGCAATTTAACCTTATTTAATCTAATTTAATCATACCGAATCACATTTTAATTAAATTTACCATTACTTCACATAAATTCTAGCTAACACAAAGCATCAATCAATTTTGGATTCGGTCGCCGATAAGGCCTTCAATTTGCAGTTTAAAGATATAAACATGAACAGATAATTTTATGGCAAATAGATAGAAACGCAAAGATAATGCAATGCTTGTGCAAATTAATTCCAGATTCCTTCTAAATTGTTGTTAGCCGTCATTAAGCACGAATTAATGTTAATCTAGGGTCGGTTTTATTACAGTCTTCCCCCTTTAAAAGAGTTTGGTCCCCAAACTCGAATTACCTTCGTTTTGGAATAACATTGGGTCCAAGGGAAACAACTCCAGATATCTTTTCGTCATCTCTTCTTCTGTTTCCTAGGTCGCATAGGTTGCCCCATGGTTTTGCCAATCGACTTTCACCAACGGTATCTCTTTGTTTCTCAATCTCTTGATCCTGCGGTTCACAACTTGAATAGGTCTTTCCTCGTAGGTGTAATCATCCTTCAACAGCACGTGTGTCGGCTCAATGACGTGGAGTGGATCTCTCAAGTATTCGCGAAGCATCGAGACATGAAACACATTGTGCATATGTTCCATTATCGGTGGTAAAGCTACCTGATACAATACTGGATTGATCTTCTCAAGGATTTCATGAGGTCCAACGTACCTTGGCGCCAACTTACCCTTAACACCAAACTGAGTTTGACCCTTCATCGGGGTCACTTTTATGAACACATGGTCCCCAACTTCATATTCCCTAACTCTTCTCCGGACAACAGCATAGCTTTTCTGCCGACTTTGTGCAGTTTTCAAATGTTGCTGGATCAATTTCACTTTTTCGGTCATTTCTTGTACAAGTTCTGGTCCCAACAAAGGTCTATCACCTACTTCAGCCCAACATATTGGAGAACGACACTTCCTTCCATACAAGGCCTCATAAGGCGCCATTTCAATGCTTGAATGGTAGCTGTTGTTGTACACAAATTCGGCCAATGGCAAGTAGGTCTCCCAATTCCCCTGGAAGTCTAACACACACATTCTGATCATGTCCTCTAAAGTTTGGTTAGTTTGTTCAGTTTTTCCATCTGTCTGTGGGTGATAGGCACTACTCAGTCTCAATTCGGTCCCCAAAGCCTGTTGCAAACTCTGCCAAAATCTTGACACAAACTTTGAATCCCTGTCAGAAACAATAGACACTGGCACTCCATGCAACCTCACAATTTCAGTCATATAGATATTGGCCAATTTGTCAGCATTATAAATAGTTTTGACAGGCAGAAAATGGGCAGACTTAGTTAAACGGTCTACAATAACCCAGATAGAGTCCATACCTCGAGAAAAACGAGGCAATCCCACAATGAATTCCATGGTAATGTGTTTCCATTTCCATTCCGGTATTGGGAGTGGTTGTAGCAAACCAGCGGGCCGTTGATGTTCAACTTTAACCTGTTGGCAATGTAGACATCTAGCCACAAAATCGGCAATACTCCTTTTCATTCCAGGCCACCAAAAATTTTGTTTCAAGTTGTGATACATTTTTGTGTTCCTCAGGTGCATAGCAAACTTATTACTGTGAGCTTCGGTCATAACCCGTTTCCTCAAATCATCGCAATCGGGTACACAAAGACGGTTCTGAAATTTCAGCACATCATTCTCAAACACAAATCCTGGCCTTGGCTTCGAATTAAATTCCTCTATAATCTTTTTCAAGTGTTCATCTTCACATTGTTTTTGTTTGATCTCATCAAAGATAGCAGGTTGAGCAGAAGTAATAGATAACAGCCCATCTTGCTCTAGGTCACTTGGCAATTCTTTTTCGGTTGCACAACAAACATGACAAACCTGCACCGGATTTTCGGCTCAAGGCGTCTGCTACGGTGTTAGCTTTTCCTGGATGATACAAGATTTGTAGATCATAATCCTTGATTAACTCTAACCATCGCCTCTGTCTCATATTCAATTCCTTTTGGGTGAAGAAGTATTTCAAGCTCTTATGGTCTGTGTACACCTCGCAAGTCACCTCATACAAATAGTGGCACCATATTTTCAGAGCAAACACCACAGCCGCTAATTCAAGGTCATGTGTTGGGTAATTCTTTTCATGAGGTCGAAGTTGTCTAGAAGCATAGGCAATCACCCTTCCGTTTTGCATTAGTACACACCCCAAGCCTTTATAAGAAGCATCGCTGTACACTTGAAACCCATCAGTACCATTAGGCAAAGTTAAGATTGGTGCAGTCACTAACCTGGTTTTCAACTCTTGGAAAGTTGCCTCTCTTTGTTCATTCCAGTCAAATGGCACATTTTTCTGAGTTAATTGAGTCAATGGCAGGGCAAGCTTGGAAAAGTCTTTCACAAATCTCCGGTAGTAACCTGCAAGTCCCAGAAAACTTCGGACTTCTGTCACATTTGTGGGTCTAGGCCAATCCACAACGGCTTCAATTTTCTGCGGGTCAACAGAAACTCCATCCTTGTTGATTACATGTCCCAAAAATGCTACACTGTCAAGCCAGAATTCGCATTTCGACAGTTTAGCATACAACCTCTTTTCTCTCAAAATTTGCAAGGTAGTTCTCAGAGGGTTCTCATGTTCCTCCCGGCCTTTAGAGTAGATCAAAATGTCATCAATAAATACAACAATGAATTCATCAAGGTACTGTTTAAAACCCTATTCATTAGGTCCATAAAAGCCGCAAGTGCATTTGTTACTCCAAAAGGCATTACCAGAAATTCATGATGTCTATATCTAGTTTGGAATGCAGTCTTCTCTACGTCTTCTGCTCTAACTTTTAACTAATGATAACCGGACCTAAGGTCAATTTTAGAGAACACTTTGTCCCCTTGGAGTTGATCAAACAAATCATCTATCCGAGGCAACGGATATTTGTTCTTAATAGTCACTTTGTTCAGTTCTCAGTAGTCTATACATAGCCTCAGAGACCCATCTTTCTTTTTAACAAATAGGACTGGAGCACCCCAGGGTGAAGTACTCGGACGGATAAATTTCTTATCTAAAAGTTCCTGTAGTTGAGCTTTCAGTTCTTTCAGTTCAGAAGTTGACATCCTATATGGAGTCTTGGAAATGGGCTGTGTTCCAGGTGTTACATCGATGGTGAATTCTATTTCCCTATCAATTAAGTCCCCAGGTAAGTCATTTGGAAACATGTTGGGAAATTCACAAGCAACCGGGATAGTTTCTACATTAGCTTCGTTAGATGGTGCAGTCAGTACATAACACAAATAACCTCTACATCCCTTTCGAAGCAGTTTTACGACCTTCAAAGTTGAAATCAAATATGGAGGAGGAACTACCCCATTCCCAATAAAAGTAAATTCAGGCATACCCGGTGGCCTAAACACAACAAATTTATGTGCACAGTCAATGGTAGCATAGTTTTTAGTCAACCAGTCCATTCCCAAAATGCAGTCCAAATGACTAATGTTCAAAGGCAACAAATCAACATATAACATCATATCGCCAATCACAATATCACATGCAGGATAAACATGAGTACACATCATAGAACGTCCAGACGGCGTAGACACAGATAACACATATGTCATAAGTTCTAGTGGTCTAGTCAATTTCCGAGAGAAAGCATGCGATACAAAGGAATGTGTAGAACCAGAATCTATCAGTACACACCATGGTTTTGAGAAAAAGCATGCGATACAGAGGAATGTGTAGAACCAGAATCTATCAGTACACATGCATTTCGAGAACATACAGAGAGTGTACCTGACACCACAATATAGGTGTTTGGTACGTCACCAGGCACTAGGGCGAACACTCGACCTTGTCTCAGAGGCTCCTTCCCGGTATTTGCTTTTGCATTAGGTTTGGCCGTAGAGGCGGAGCCAGCTGAACTTGCCGCTAGATGGTTGGCATTTTTGAACCTGACAGGACAATCCTTCATTACATGACCAATTTTTCCATATCTGAAACAGGCACCCAAAACTCGATAACAAGTCCCCCTGTGTTTCTTACCACATTCTGGACAGGTCGGTATAGTACCACTACTTTGGCTTGAGCTACTGTAAGATCCTGTGTTATGCCTCTTACTCCCAGAGAATGAACAACCCTTTTTGAAGTTGTTCCCCGATCTTTTCCCTGTCCAATCAGTCCGTGGAACGAGAGTTTGTTTCTTTGCTGCTAGAATGGATTCTACCATTAATGCCCTATCCAAAACACCCACATATGTGGGTAGGTTCAAGACTCCTACCTTATCAAGTATGTCCAGATCCAATCCACCTTCAAACTTGCGGGCCTTCTTGTAGTCGGTATCTACCATATGGGGAGCAAACCTGGCCAGCTTAGTAAACTTGGCCTCATACTCGGCTACGGACATTCTACCTTATTTGAGCTCCTAGAATTCTGAAAACTTCCGGTCTCGAAAGCACTAGGGAAAATACTTGTCATAGAAAATTGTATTAAATTGAGTCCATGTCATATTTCCATGGCCATTTCGAATTAGTAACCACCACATTTGGGCTTCATCCTTCAGGGTATAGGTGGCTAGGAGGACTTTCTGGATTTCTGAGCAAGGAAACACCTCGTATAACTTCTCCATTTCAAGCAACCACGTCTCTGCCTTTAATGGTTCAATCCCACCATAGAATGTCAGCGGTTTCATTTTCATGAAATTTTGTGTCAAGTTGATGATGTCACTGTTATCTACTTCAGTCTGTATTGGCGGAGGTAGAGGGGGCAATGGTTGTTGTCTTTGTTGTTGCATTACTACTTCGGTTAAGGTCGCAAGCATTTGTTCCATTCTATTCATTCGGGCATCAGAGGACCCTGCCGTATCATCATCCCTTGCATTGTTCATTTGCTATAGGTAAACAAGACTTTATGTATTCAAATTCACATATTTATACTTGAATTTATGCTTTCACACAATACACATAACATGCAGATGGAATGCCCATACTTCTTACTAGAACATCCTAAGCTTACATGGACCTACGTGTGCGGTATAACTCGTGCTCTGATACCACTCTGTCATGACCTAAACCCGTCTCTGTAGGTTTAGCATTGTAACCGGCCAGTAATCCATGGATTACCCAAGGCCTCTAAATACATTAACAAATAGTAAGGGGCTGCGAAAGCAATATACGTAACATAAACAAGGTCCAATGAGTTGTGATAACGTATATGGGACAGAACATTTCAAAACTTATTTATATACATAACATACCAGTCAAAATACTTCAATATTTACAAAGTGTACTTCCCAAGGCTTGACTTTACAAAACATTCACAAGACCAGCATGAACACAAAACAGCCATGAGACTTGACTCCAGACGGAACCTGCTCGAGAGGCTGGCTGACAAAACCATAGCATAGGCCGTCAATTCTGGGCCTGACCACCAGCTTGCTTACCTACATACATAATATAAACAGTGAGCTAAAGCCCAGTGAATAATAACAGAGTAAAAAGGGTTTAATGAATGATGTCCATCACAGAGTCAGAAATCAGATTCATATCAAAACAGATTCATATACTTGTTCGTAATCATTTCCATATTCAGGTTTTTCACATAAGCATACGTGGTACATCCAATAGCGTTAACATATCTGATGACCACAAAGGGACCTGATGACCCATAAGGGACAGCCCTGAAGGCATTCTGATGACTCATGTGCACAGAGACGTTCTGATGACCCATAAAGGAATGCATATCATGTGATGCTAAGGATGCCACGGTTAAC